AAAAAAAAAAAAGTAAAAGTTTTCATTAGATATTTCACCAAATACACATAAAGGACAATAAGCCCATGAAAAGATGCTTAATTCATCACTAGCATAATGCAACTTAAAACAACTAGATACTATTCTCACTTACTAGGATGTACTTACTACAATCAAAAGGTCAGAAGAGAGTAAATGTTGGCAAAGAAGTTAAGAAACCAGGACCCAGGCTGACCAAGTAGTTCAGCTGATTAAAGCCCCTGCTTGCAGGGGCCGGGAGTGATCCCTCTAGCCTGCCCCGCCCCTGGGGCACACTGAGATGGCAATTGAGACTAGGCATGGTACAGCGCACCTATAATCCCAGCTCTTGGGAAGCTGTAAACAGGTGGATCACTATGAGTCCAATCTAGTAGTAAGACCCTGAACACCCTGTAGACCCTTCCCTAACGTACAAAAAAAGAAAAAAAAAAGAAAGAAACCAGGACTCCCATCTATTGATGGCAGGAATTTAAGATGGTATAGCCACTTTGGAAAATAGTAACCAACTGACTCAGCAGTTCCACTGGTAAGTATCTAGCCATTAACTGCTGATATATATATATATACAAAGACTTCCTTGTGAATGTATATAGTGGCACTATTCATAGAAACCAAAACTAGAAACAACCAGTTTAACAGTTTGTGAGTACATAACATGTTATCTATCCAATCAATGGAATATTAATCAATGATAAAAAAAATGAAAAGAGTTAGGGGCATAGCTAAGTGGTAGAGTGCTTGCCTAGTATCATGGGGGGGAAAACGGAAGGAAAAAGTGATCCAAGTTACCTCTGAAGAATCCTCAAAAACATGCTACCTGAATGATGCTAGTCACAATGAACATACATTACACAAATCCAATTATATGAAAGGTCCTAAAAAGATGAATCTATGAGACTGAAAGTAGAGTTATGCTTACTAAGGACTAGGAAAAGTGATCAATGGGAAATAGGCACAAGCATTTCTACAGACAGTATTACAAATGTTCTCACATTAGACTATGATCTCAAAACTTGGCCAATTATTAAAAATCATTGGCCATATGCCAGAAGTCAATAAATTTTATAGCACATAAATTATACCTCAATAAGTTGTTTTTTTTTTAAAAAAAAAAAAAAACCCTTTAGGGCTAGCATGATAGCTCAGCAGACTAAGCACCTGCTTAGGCAAGTGCAGGGACCAGGGTTCAATCCCAGCACTATATGCCATGCCAGCCCTGCCCCCAGGAGCACTGAGTCTGCCACAGAGACTGGGCATGGTGGTGCATGTCTGTAATCCCAGTCAGTGCTGGGGAGGCTGAAAACAGGGGGATCACTGTGAGTCCAGGCTGCATAATGAGACCCTCTATTAAATACATTAAAAAAATATATATACATATAAAGAACAAGAAATAAATACAATATAGTGTCTAAGAGGTAAAAACATTTTTTCAGAGGCAAAGAAGGACTTTGGAAGAGAGAAAACCTAACTTTTAACACTAGATAAGTAAAACGTCATCCCACTAAAAACACTTTCATTCTTCTTATTAGTATGCCTATATTAAAAAACATTGCAACATGTTAATTATTGAAACTGTCCTACCAATTTGATTTGAAACTGTCTCATTGCTATTTGTTTCTCAATAAAATTATGGAAAAAAAAATATATCCTCAGCTGTTATGTTCTCAATTTAATCAAGGAAATTTTTGTGGAAATTCACTTTCCTTCATTTTATAAGTACTTACATAAAATAAGCTTCATTTTTGCTTCTTGGCCCACAAGTCCTAAAATATTTACCATCAGAAAAAAGTTGTTGACCCCATCCTAGACAGATTTTTTTCCTAATAAAGAGAAAACTGAGGCCTATTTTTTCTGTATTATTAGGTAGTAAGCCTCCTTTAAATAAGCAAATACACAGGGGCTGTGGCATGCCGTGCTGGCCCTGCCTCTAGGGTGCACTGAGATGACAAATGAGACTGAGTACAGTGGTGCGTGCCTGTAATCCCAGCACTTGGGAGGCTGAAAAACAGGAAGGATCACTATGAGTCCGATCTGTGTAGTGAGACCCTGTACTAAATACATTTTTTTTAAATTAAATAAGCAAATATCCTAAAGGGGCAAACTTTATGTCAATGAATGTGTTTTATACTTTTGGAGACAGGATCTTGCTATGTAGTGTAGGCTGGCCTTGAACTCACTAATTAGCCCAGGCTGGCTTTGAACTTGTGGCATTCCTCCTGCCTCAGCGTCCCAAGTGCTGGCATTACAGGCATGTACCACCATGCCTGGCTTAGTGAATGTGTCTTAATTCTTCATCTCTGCAGAGTCCTGAAAACCACTCCTAACACATTCTGCCCATTACCTGCTCTCCGGTCTCACGAAACTGACTCTGGATGCGCTGGCAGAAGTCAGGATTGCACAGCAAGGTGAGAGGAGCCTTTAGCTGAACAGGAACAGGCTCCATGGCCTCTAGGAGGCGCTGCCATTCACTGTCACTGTCCAGCTCCTAAGGAACAGTAGTGGAGGCAAGAATACAGGAGGTCAAGAGGAGCATGCAAGTCTCAGGATCACAGCTCAAAACATGGCATTAGAAACCAGGGGACTTGGGGTCAGGGAGATAGCTCAGAAGAATAAGCGCTTTGCTGCCAAGTGCAGGGTCCTGAGTTCAATCCCCGGTACGACAAAAAAAGAAAAAGAAATCAGGGGTCTCAAGAAGTGACTACAGTTGGGGGAATTTAGTACCTCAGCACCACGTAAGTACAGCAAGCAGAACTCACTTAAAAGGCATAAGAAAATACTGATCTATAGCCTTTTATGACTGATTTGAGACCCTTAAAACAGTAGACATGTTATATATTTCTGCT